AAAGAGCTATTTTAGTTGTTTGGAGTCAAAATTATGATAATTTTTAATAACACAACAATAATAATAATCGTTGCATTTGATATAACGCTTTTCACGTCTTACTCGACGTCTCAAAGCGCTTCACAGAATATGCTGTAAAGTGTAGTGACCGTATATTTGTGGGCGAAACGCGGCGGCCAATTGCGCACAGCGGTGTCCGACAAACAGTCGTGGGTTGCAGTGACCAATTTATTATTGCTTTGTTTTGGAGGGATTATTATTAGGGCTGTGGTTGGGGTAAGGAAACTTGCCCGAGGTTTCGTCCGGTCTGGGATTGAACCCGGGTCTCTCGCTTGCGAGGCGAGTGCTCTAACCACTGAGCTACAGGACTCCAGTAATAATATGATAATCTCCACCACCGCTAAAACACACAGTCACTACACTTTACAGCGTGTCCTGTGAGGCGCTTTGAGATGTCTCGAGGACCTGATAAGGCGCCGGGTCACACGCGAGGGTTGTTAGAGGATTAACCTAATAATAATCCTCGCATTTGTCCCGGCGCCTTATCACTCCGCGTCGTCTCAAAGCGCTTCACAGGATACACTGTAAGGTGTAGTGACTGTGTGTTTTTGTGAGCCAACACAGCAGCCGATTTGCGCCCAGCGACGTCCCCACAGACAGCCGTGAAGAGAGCGAGTGATTATATCTGTCGGGCAGAACACCGAGAGAGAGAGAGAGAGAGAGAGAGAGAAACTTCCTTCTGTTCCTCCCCCCACCCACCCCCGACAGCGCTGAGGGAGATCTTTAACGTCCGCCCAAACCGGGCACAGACGGGGAGTGAGTGAGGTTTAACGTCTCATCCGAAGGACGGAATCTCCGACAAACGTCTCTCTCTCTCTCTCTCTCTCTCTCCCTCTCCCTCCGCCCAGCGCTGGGCTGGAGGGTCACCTTAAGACTATGAGGGTTCCGCGTGTGCGGATGCGAAGCTTCAACCCACAACCTCTGACTCAGAGGCGAGAGGGCGAGCGACGGGGCCAGTCTGACACGACGGAGGGGGGGGAAGAGAAAAAAATATTTATTTATAGATTACGGCAATTAAAATCAAAGTCAAACAGACGTCCTCAGCGAACTGTGCGCTCCGGGTGGTGGTTGGGACATAATAATGACCTTCCAGCAAATAACTGGTTTCTTGTTTATTTTACTCTCTGAATCCGGTGCTTAAAACCTTACGCCCCGACCCCTCCCTCCCTCTGCGACCCTCTCGCACTGCGCGGGACAGTGACATCCCGTGAAGCGCTTTGAGGCGTCCTCCCAAGGCCCCCGTGTCAAACTATAATAATAATAATTATCATAATAATAATCCCGGGGTGTGACCCGGCGCCTCATCACCTCTTCGAGACGTCTCAAAGTGCTTTGCAGGATACACTCTTGAGTGTAGTGACTGTGTGTGTGTTTCGGGGGCCAATCGCGGCAGCCGATGTCCCCACAAACAGCCGCCGGGGGTTGAAGTGACCAAATTATTATCGTTTTGAAGGGATTATTACCCCCGAAAAGTGATCCCCCAATCGCCTGACAAGCGACTGACTGCCGGGGACACAGTGTGTGTGTGTGTGTGTGTCTGTGTGTGTGTGTGGAGGGGGGGGTGGGGTTGGGGGGGGGGGAGTAAGGAAACTTGCCTAAGGTTTCTCCCTGACCGGACCCGCCCGGGAATTGAACCCGGATCCTCTGGTTTGTGAGGCGAAGGGTCCAACCCCTGAGCTACAGGAACTCTGCATAACAAAGGATTGTTGGAGGATTAACCTAATAATAATCCTCGCATTTGACCCGGAGCCTTATCACTTTGCATCGTCTCAAAGCGCTTCACGGGATACACTGTAAAGTGTAGTGACTGTGTATTTTTGTGAGCCAACACAGCAGCCGATTTGCGCCCACTGACTGTCGGTTGGGTGGGAACTCCAAAGCAGACTGTCTCCGCTACTATAATAATGATTTGGATGTAAGATTCATTCACAATATTCCCCAAAATAATGCCGTTAGTGAGTTTAATGCAAATTACTATCATTCGCTCACTTCACAACAACAACAAAATAATCATAATAATAATAATAACAATCCTGGCGTTTGACCCGGCGCCTCATCGCGGCTTCGAGACGCCTCAAAGCGCTTCACAGGATACACAGTAAAGTGTAGTGACTGTGTGTTTCGTGGGCAAAACGCGGCAGCCGATCGCGCCCGGCGACGTCCCCACAAACAGCCGCTGGGGGTTGAAGTGACCAAATAACCAGATATGAATAAAATTAGGTATGTACAGCGCCTTTCACGTCGGGAGGACATCCCGAAGCACTTTCGGCCTTTTGCGGGGAAGTCGCAGGGCGCAAATCAGCCGCCGCGTTAAAACACACAGTCACTACACTTTACAGTATATTCTGCAAAGCGCTTTGAGACGTGATAAGGCGCTGTATCAAATGCAAAGATTAATGCAATAATCCTCGCACGTGACATAATAATAATAATAATAATAATCCTTGCATTTGATATAGCGCTTTTCACGTCAGGAGGACGTCCCAAAGCGCTTCACAGAACACACTGTAAAGTGAATTGACTGTATATTTGTGGGCGAACGCGGCTTATCAAGTCTTCGAGACGTCTCGAAGCGCTTCACAGGACACACTGTAAAGTGACTTGGTGGTGGGGGGGGAGGGGGAGGCAAGAGTGTGTCGACTCCTTTAAGAAGCGACTTTCTCGGTCATCGATTGCTTGACCCTCCCCCCCCTCCCCTCAGGCGTGTGTGAGGGGGCGGATGACGAAAGGCAAAAATGACCAATAGGGAGCGATGGACATTTGAGCGACAGCGACAGTAGCCAATGAGGAGCGTGGGAGGGCGGGTGACAGTTGGCAACGAATGGGAGGGTGGGCGGGAGGGGCGGGGACAGGTAACAGACGCAGCCAATGAGGAACGAGAAAAAGCTGAACGACAGCGGCATTAGCCAATGGGGAGCGAGGAGGCGGTGACGGATGGGAGGAGAGTGGAGCGCGGATGACGAGCAGCAAAGGTGACCAATAGAAAGCGAGAGATGCTTGAGCGACAGCCAATGAGGAGCGAGGGGCGGTGACAGGCTGCAATGGGGGCCAACAGCCTGTGAGGTTGATGAGCGGCGAAGGGCAACTGGGAGCGAGCGAGAGGGGGGGGTGGGGGTTGGGGGGGGGAAGCGTTTTTGACAGGCAGTAAAAACGAACCAATAGTGAGCGGAAGATGTTTGAGTGACAGGGCAACCGACCAATGGGGAGCGAGGGTGCGGGAGTGAGGGGCGGGAGGAGATGAGGAGCAACAAGAGCAGCCAATAGCGAGCGATGATGGAGAGGCGGGTAATAAAGCGACCGAGGCGACCAATAAGGAGCGAGGGAAGCTTTGATCGATAGCGAATTCATCCAATGGTGAGCGAGATGTTTCTGAGCGACAGCCAAAGTGACCAATGGGGAGCCAGGGGGCGGTGCTGGGGTGGGGGCGGGAAAAGATGGCAGGGAGGTGGGGGGAGGGGGGAGAAGGCAGTTGACGCGCGGCAATGGGAGACAGGAATCTGTGAGCGACAGCAACCCTTAGCCAATGGAGAACGAGATGCGGTTGAGTGACAGCCAAAGTAACCAATGGACAGTGAGGGAGGCGTGTGACGTAGAGTGACACCGAAGGCGACCAATGAAGAGCGAGGGAGGCGGGTGACGCGGTGGACAGGCGACCAATCCCAAGGGAAGGGGTGGGAACCAGCAGCAGGTGGGACCAATGGGGAGCGAGAGAAATTTCGATCGACAGCGAAGGTCGCCAATGCGGAGAGAGGGGGCGGTGCCGGGGGGCGGGGCGAGGGCGGGGGCAGGAGATGGAAGCAAGATGGGGGCCGCCGCGGGCGAGGGGACAGCAGCGCGGGTGACGGAGGCGAAGCGCGAGTGAGAGGGAGGACTCGGTTCCCAGGGGCCAGGCTGGTGTGTAAGGGGCTCCCAGGGGCCAGGCTGGTGTGTAAGGGGCTCCCAGGGGCCAGGCTGGTGTGTAAGGGATCAGGCTGGTGTGTAAGGGGCCAGGCTGGTGTGTAAGGGGTTTCCCAGGGGCCAGGCTGGTGTGTAAGGGGTTTCCCAGGGGCCAGGCTGGTGTGTAAGGGGCCAGGCTGGTGTGTAAGGGGTCAGGCTGGTGTGTAAGGGGTTTCCCAGGGCCAGGCTGGTGTGTAAGGGGCCAGGCTGGTGTGTAAGGGGCTCCCAGGGGCCAGGCTGGTGTGTAAGGGATCAGGCTGGTGTGTAAGGGATCAGGCTGGTGTGTCAGGGGCCAGGCTGGTGTGTAAGGGATCAGGCTGGTGTGTAAGGGGTCAGGCTGGTGTGTAAGGGGCCAGGTTGGTGTGTAAGGGGCCAGGTTGGTGTGTAAGGGGCCAGGTTGGTGTGTAAGGGGCCAGGCTGGTGTGTAAGGGGCCAGGTTGGTGTGTAAGGGGCCAGGTTGGTGTGTAAGGGGCCAGGCTGGTGTGTAAGGGGCCAGGTTGGTGTGTAAGGGGTCAGGCTGGTGTGTAAGGGGCCAGGCTGGTGTGTAAGGGTCTCCCAGGGGCCAGGCTGGTGTGTAAGGGGTCAGGCTGGTGTGTAAGGGGCCAGGCTGGTGTGTAAGGGGCCAGGCTGGTGTGTAAGGGTCTCCCAGGGGCCAGGCTAATGTATAAAGGGGCCTGAGACCAGGGCTGGGGGTCCGAGAAGGAGAGAACCGTGTGTGAGAGGTTCCTATAGGGGTCAGATCCCTTGTGTGGGGGGCTCTCAAGGCCTCGGGAGGGAGGGAGGGAGTGGTTCGTGAGGGATTTCCTCGGGTCCTGAGGTCAGGGCTGGGGGTCTGGCAGGTAGTTAGCAGCGTGTGAGGCGCACCCAGGGGCCAGGGCTGGTGTTTTGAGGGCCCGAGAGGTAACGAGCGGTGCGTGAGGGTCTCCGAAGGGCCCGGGGCCCGTGGCTAGGGGTCCGAGAGGGAGCGACTGGTGCGTGAGGGGCTTCCCGGCGGTCCGCGATGGGCTCCCAGGTGCTACAGATCCTCCGACAGGGAGTGTGGGCCTCGCTAACCGGGGGCTGGTACTTCGACCCACATCAGAGCAAGTTCTCCAACTGCTTCCACCTCTACGTCTGGCTGTTCCTGCTCTGCTTCCCCTTCCTGCTCTTCATGGTGAGTGGGAGATCCTCTACAGCCATCGAAATTGTCTTGCAGAGACCTTCCTCCTCGACCGAGCCTTCGGACGCCCTCCCACCCTGCCCTCCACCCTCTCTCTCCTGACCCCCCTTGCCCCCAGCCCCAACTCCCAACTCGGGTCCGAAACCTCCTGACCGTCCAGCGCCCCGGGACGTCTTTCCAACGCGACGGGAGCTGTACGAGTGCCATTTGTTGTCCCCGCAACCCTCGACAATCCTGGCGATCACCGCAGCATCCTTTCGCGTTCGTTGAAATCGGCCCTTCATGATTAAGCAAAGTGGGAGGACTCGGGTTCGGTTCCCGGGCGGGTCGGGTCAGGGCGAAACATTGGGCAAGTTTCTTTACTGCACACACACAGACGCACACAGACGCGCACACACACACACACAGACGCGCGCACACGCAGACACGCACACACACAGACGCGCGCACGCATGCGTCTCTATTTACCAGCAGTCGGTAGGAACCCGCTTGTTAGTCGATTGGGGGATCACTTTCCGGGGGTAATAATCCCTTCAAAAAATATTAATAGTAATAATTTGGTCACTTCAACTCACGACTGTTTGTGGGGACGTCGCCGGGCGCAGTCGGCTGCTGCGTTTCGCCCACAAAACACACAGTTACTACACTTTACAGTGAAGCACTTTGAGACCTCCCGAAGACCTGATAAGGCGCTGTATCAAACGCAAAGGACCATCATCATCATTATCCCCGCAATCCTCTACATTCATCGGAATTGTCCTCGCAATCCTCAACGGTCCTCAGGATCGTCCCCGCAATCCTCCGTGATCATTGAAATAATTCCCGTAACACTCTACAATCATCCTCCCCATCCTCAAAATCATCAACAGTCGTTGAAATCCCCCCCCCCCGCAATCAACCACTGTCGTTGAAATTATTCCCCACCACTCTCCTCGAAATTGTCTCCAACTATCCTCCTTTACGATCCTCAAAATCATCCCAGTGATTCTCTACATCATTATAATAACAATAACAACCCCGGGGTGAGAAGTCTCAAAGCGCTTCACGGGCTACGCCGCCAAGCGTAGTGACTGTGTGTTTTGTGGGCGAAACGCGGCAGCCGATCGCGCCCGGCGACGTCCCCACAAACAGCCGTGGGTTGAAGTGACCAAATTATTATTTTTTGAAAGAATTATTACTCCCGGAAAAAGCGATCTGCCAATCGACTAACAACCGGGTTCCTACTAATTGCGGGTAAACAGAGTGTGTGTGTGTGTGGAGTAAGGAAACTTGCCCAACGCTTCGCCCTGCCCTGGGAATCGAACCCAGATCCTCTCGCGTGCGAGTCGAGCGCTCTAACCACTGAGTTACAGGACTCCACGAACTACTATTATAATGATAATAATCCTGGCATTTGACCCGGCGCCTTATCAGGTCTTCGAGACGTCTCAAAGCGCTTCACGGGATGCACCGTAAAGTGAATTGACTGTATATTTTGTGGGCGAAACGTTCATGGAAATCATCCCCCACTGTCCTTATTATAATCATTATTATTATTATTATTATCCTCGCTGGGCTCCTCTGGCTCACTGTCTTCCAGCAGTCTGACTTTAAAGCTGCTGGTTAATAGCGAGTTACTATTTCCAAGCTGTAGTGATCCTCGTCCCAGGAAAATTCCCTCCTTTGCCCCTTTGGCGTCATTGGCGAACGAGCTTCGGTGTAATAACAATAATCCTGCCGTTTGACCCAGCGCCTTATCGCGTCTTCCAGACGTCCCGAAGCGCTTCACTGTAAATATACTGTAACGTCTAGTGACTGTGTGTTTTGTGGGCGAATCGCGGCAGCCGATCGCGCCCAGCGACGTCCCCACAAACAGCCGCCGGGGGTTGAAGTGACCGAATTATTATTGTTTTGAAGGGATTATTACCCCCGAAAAGTGATCCCCCAATCGCCTGACAAGCGACTGACTGCCGGGGACACAGGCGTGTGGGGGTGTGTGTGGGTGTGTGTGTGTGTGTCTCTGTGTGCGTGTGTCTGTGTGTGGGGAGTAAGGATATTTGCCCAGTGTTTCTCCCCGCCTGGGAATCGAACCCGGGTCCTCTCGCTCGCGAGGCGAGGGCTCTAACCACTGAGTTACTTTGATCCACGTGATCAGGCGCTGAGTCAACTGCGAGGATTATCGTCACTGTTGTCGATGTTTGCTGAAGTGATAGAGAGCTGTTGTTGAGAGTGTGTGTGTCAGAGACGCTGGCACCCCCTCCCCTCCCCTCCCCTCCCCTCCCCCACCCCACCTCTCCGACCCTCTCACTCCCCAATCCACTGCCCGGTCGGCCCCCTCCGCTCGACTGGCACCGGCCCCTCTTCTCGTCCCTCACACCCTCTGCCCCCACCATCGGAAGTCCCGCTTTCAGCCGCTGCGCCCCGAAACTCCGTCACACTCTCCCTCAATCGCTCCGCCTTGACCGCCTCGCGCTCTCTCTCTCTCCCCCTCAATCCCTCCGCCTTGCCCCCTCTCTCTCTCTCTCTCTCTCTCCCTCAATCCCTCCGCCTTGCCTCCCCTCTCTCATTCTCTCTCTCCCTCAATCCCTCCGCCTTAGCCTCCTCTCTCTCTCTCTCTCTCTCTCCCTCCCTCAATCCCTCCACCTTGCCCCCTCTCTCTCATTCTCTCTCTCTTTCCCTCAATCCCTCCGCCTTGCCTCCCCTCTCTCATTCTCTCTCTCCCTCAATCCCTCCGCCTTGCCTCCTCTCTCTCTCTCTCTCTCCCTCAATCCCTCCGCCTTGCCTCCTCTCTCTCATTCTCTTTCTCTCCCCTCAATCCCTCCGTGTTGCCTCCTCTCTCTCTCCCTCAATCCCTCCGCCTTGCCTCCTCTCTCTCATTCTCTCTCTCTCTCCCTCAATCTCTCCGCCTTGCCTCCTCTCTCATTCTCTCTCTCTCTCCCTCAATCCCTCCGTCTTGCCCCCTCTCTCCCTCTCCCCCTTTTCAAGTCCCACCTGAAAACCTTCCTCTTCGACCGTGCTTACGATGTAATGCAAAGAGCAGTGTCAGCCTGACTCAGCGGTAGCGCTCTCTGCCTCTCTCTCTCTCTCTCTCTCTCTCTCTCTCTTCAATTCAGCACTGGGGGTGGTGTTGCATTGTCAGAGACACCGTCCATCGGGTTAAACCTCACTCGCTCCCCGTCTGTGCCCCGTTTAGGTGGACGTTAAAGATCTCTCGCTTACGGGAAGGGAGGTGGGAGTAAGCACGGTCGAAGAGGAAGGTCTTCAGGCGGCACTTAAAAAAGGGGCGAGAGAGGGGAGCAAGGCGGAGGGATTGAGGGAGTGAGAGAGGCAGAGAGAGAGAGCGGCAAGGCGGAGGGATTGAGGGAGAGGGAGAGAGATGGGAGCAAGGCGGAGGGATTGAGGGAGTGAGAGAGGCAGAGAGAGAGGAGGCAAGACGGAGGGATTGAGGGGGAGAGAGAGAGAGAAGGGGCAAAGCGGAGGGATTGAGGGAGTGAGAGAGGCAGAGAGAGAGAGCGGCAAGACGGAGGGATTGAGGTGGAGAGAGAGAGAGAGAGAGAGAGAGAGAGAAGGGGCAAAGCGGAGGGGTTGAGGGAGAGAGAGAGAGGCAAAGAGAGAGAGAAAGGTGGTGGGGGGGGGGGCAAGGCGGAGGGGTTGAGGGAGAGAGAGAGAGAAAGGTGGTGGGGGGGGGGCAAGGCGGAGGGATTGAGGGAAGGAGTGTGACAGTTTCTGATGGGTGACTCACTGGTTTGGGAGTTGTGCCTGTACCGTGGGTAGTGCTTTGTGGCCCTGGGAAAACTGCTCGATTCTAAACCTCCTAAAAATAATACTTCTTTCATTTGTTACATAATAATTGCGCTGGATACAGCGCCTATTGTTTCGGCCACAAAACACACAGTCACTACACTTGACAGTGTATCCTGTGAAGCGCTTTGAGACGTCTCGAAGGCACGATACGGTGCTGGGTCACACACCGGGGTTATTATTTGTTATGGTCACGTTGTTCAGGCGTCTCAAAAGTGCTGCACGGAATATTCCGTCAAGTGTAGTGACTGTGTGTTTGTGGGCGAAACGCGGCAGGCGGTTGTTAGTCGATTGCCACATCGCTTTCTGGGGGTAATAATTCCCCCTCCCACCCCACCCCCAAAATGTGGTCACTCAACCCACGGCTGTTGGTGGGCACGTCGCTGGGGGCACAATTGGCCGCCGCGTTTTGCCCACAAAGCACACAGTCACTACACTTTACAGTGCATCCCGCGCAGCGCTTTGAGACGTCTCGAAGACGTGATGAGGCGCCGGGTCAAACCCCGGGGTTATTATTGTTAATAACCCCATACCTTGTGATCGCGAGAGCTTTCCCGCTGCTTGTCCAGCAAGGACAAGAATAAGATGACAGCTGTTTATCTCTCTCTCTCTCTCTCTCTCTCTCTGTAGGCTTTGCCGCCCAGCACGTCCGTGGCCGGGATCTACTGTGCCATCGTGGCTATTTTCTTCACCGTGGTGAAAGCCATCAACTACCGGCTACACGCCATGTTTGACGAGGGGGAGATAGTGGAGAAGAAACACCCGTCACTGGCAATGGACGCAACAAAGACCGAAGAAGGGGAATCCGGGGCGTGTGAAGACAACACCACGATAAGGTATCCGGAAATTTGAGGAGTCTCTGTAGCTCAGGGGTTAGACCCCTCACCCCCCACCCCACAGCCCCTGTAGCTCAGGGGTTAGACCCCCCCCTCACACCCCACAGCCCCTGTAGCTCAGGGGTTAGACCCCTCACCCCCCAGCCCACAGCCCCTGTAGCTCAGGGGTTAGACCCCTCACCCCCCACCCCACAGCCCCTGTAGCTCAGGGGTTAGACCCCTCACCCCCCACCCCACAGCCCCTGTAGCTCAGGGGTTAGACCCCTCACCCCCCACCCCACAGCCCCTGTAGCTCAGGGGTTAGATCCCCCCCCTCGCACCCCACAGCCCCTGTAGCTCAGGGGTTAGACCCCTCGCCTCGCACCCCACAGCCCCTGTAGCTCAGGGGTTAGACCCCTCGCCTCGCACCCCACAGCCCCTGTAGCTCAGGGGTTAGACCCCTCGCCTCGCAAGCCAGAGGGACCCGGGTTCAATTCCCAGGCGGGTCAGGTCAGGACGAAACCTTAGGCAAGTTTCCTTACTCCCCCCCACACCCCCACACACAGACACACACACAGACACACACACACACACCCCCACACGCCTGTGTCCCCGGCAGTCAGTCGCTTGTCAGGCGATTGGGGGATCACTTTTCGGGGGTAATAATCCCTTCAAAACAATAATAATTCGGTCACTTCAACCTCCGGCGGCTGTTTGTGGGGACGTCGCTGAGCGCGATCGGCTGCTGCCTGAAGACCTTCAACCGTGCTGGCACACACACGCGCAAGTGCGCACAGACAGACACACAGACACACAGACACACAGGAGGATTATTGTTGTTATTGATTTGACATTGTTGCCCCCTCCCAGGGACCCAGGGGGAGGGGTGGAGATGACAGTGTTCAGGAAAGCAAACACCACACCGCCCGTCCGCTGTAGCTCTCAGCATTCTGTCTTTGGCTTCAACCAGGTCTCGGTGAGTACACAGACGCACACACACTCGTACACACAAACACAAGCGCACACACACACTCGCGCGCACGCGCACACATAGGCACGCACACTCACAGACAGACAGACAGTCACACAGACACAGTCACACACAGACACAGTCACACACAGACACCCACGTTCAGTCACCGGCACGCGCTCACACACACGCGCTCACACACACGTGCTCACACATGCGAGCTCACACACAAACTCAGACACACTACCCAGCCTACTGCTGTACGCAATTGGCTGCCGTGTTTTGCCCACAAAACGCACAGTCACGACACTCGATGGTGTGTCCCGTGAAGCGCTTTTGAGACGTCTCGACGACGCGATCGGGCGCCGGGTCACGCGCCGGGATTGTTATTATTGTCATATTTTGTTTCTCCGCCGTTGGGAAGCGGCGGTAAATCCTCCTGTGGGTCAGACCGGTTTCTTTGTCTGTCTGTTCCTAGGAGCTGTTGCCTCACCTGGAAGATGAGGGAACCACAAAAGGTTTGTGTGTGTGTTTGAGGGCTGAGCTCGAACGTGTCCCAAACGCAACCGAAAACCCTCGTGGGTGCGTTTGTCACCTCCCGCCTGGAGAGCGAGAGAGAGGGGGTGGGGGTGGGGGGGGGGTGCAAGGCGGAGGGATCGATTGCACCTCCTCTCTGGTCTCCCAGCTCCGCCATTCCCAAGATCCGCCTCAGTCAAACCTCCTCTGTCGCCCGCAAACTGACCCGGAGCAAACTCCGTCCCCACATCTCACCAGCCCTGGCCCAGGCTCCTCGGGCTCCCCATCACCCAACCCATCGACTTCAGGACCCTCTCCCTCTCGTGTTCAAACCCCTCCCTCCACGCCTCCATCCCCCCTCCTCCCTCCCTCCCCAACTCCACCCCTCCCTCCTCCCTCCTCCCTCCCCCCACGCCTCCCTCCCCCCACCCCTCCCTCCCTCCACGCCTCCCTCCCTCCCTCCACGCCTCCCTCCCTCCCCCCCAATCCACCACCCAGTCAGAGCCTCCTGCTCGCCCCTCGCGCCCTCCGCCCCCACCATCAGACATCGCACCTTCAGCCACTGCGCTCTGAAACTCCGTCACACTCTCCCTCAATTCCTCCGCCTTGCCCCCCCCCACCCCTTCCCTCAATTCCTCCTACTTGCCCCCCCCACCCCCTCCCTCAATTCCTCCGCCTTGCCCCCCCACCCCCTCCCTCAATTCCTCCGCCTTGCCCCCTCCACCCCCTCCCTCAATTCCTCCGCCTTGCCCCCCCCACCCCCTCCCTCAATTCCTCCGCCTTGCCCCCCCCCCCTCCCCGCTCTCTCTCTCCCTCTCCCCTCTTTCAAAGCCCCCCTGAAAACCTTCCTCTTCGACCGTGCTCACACTTCGACCGAAGCATTTACACAGCTTCCCCTCATGCTTGTCAGTTGACGCTGAGACATCGTTGGGCGCAATCGGCTGCCGCATTTCGCCCGAGAGATACCCAGTCACTACACTACACTTTACGGCGTATCCCGTGAAGCGCTTTGAGACGTCGCGGCGGTGTGGATGTATGAAAGGCCAGGCTTACCGTGGTGTCTGCCCTGCAGGTATCAAGGAGCTGGTGAGGGAGCAGGGCAGCAATAATGTGATCATGACCTCAACCGACAGACAGTTATTGAAGCACAACCACCAGGAGGTGCTGAGTGAGTTGTCCATGTGCCCCTCCGGGACTCCATCCCACAGCCCCTCCGCCTCCCCCCTCCCTCCCTCCCTCCCACCCTCCCTCTCACCTTCACTCCCTCCCACCATCCCCCGCCCTCCACCCCCTCCTTATCCCGACCCCCAGCTCGGGGCCAAACCCCCGACTGTCCAGCGCCTGCGGACGCCCTCCTGATGTGATGTGAAGGGCAGTCGCTGTGTAAACGCCATTTTGTATTGTATTATATTGTGTGTTCCCGTGAAGCGCTTTAAGACGTCTCGAAGACATGATGAGGGCCCGGGTCACACGCCAGGATTGTTATTAACAATAATGTTATCATGATTAATGCCATTATTACTAACGTTACAATTAATATTATTATTAATATTATTGGAACACATTAGAATATACAGCACAGAAACAGGCCATTCGGCCCCACTGGTCTCTGCCGGTCTTTTAATATTGTTATTGTTGTTATTATTAAATTATTATTAATATAATTATGAATATGATATAGTTACTAATATTATTGTTGTTATTAATATTCTGTGATAAAAGCCATTAAACAACAAGTGTCTCTCCAGGTTTACAGTTGGACGAGGTGTGTAAAGATGGCTCACTCTCCCCTGACAGAAACTGGCTGGACGACCCCAACTCGGGGATAAAACTCCCCCCGCTTCTGCCCGCAGAGGGGGTCCCTCGCTCCCAAAGCCTGGGGGGCTCATCGGGGGGGGCGAACCTGGCCCCTGCGCTGGCGGTGGTGGCGCTGGGTGGTGGAGGGGAGCCGAAACCCGGCCCCTTACTCTTCAGCCTGCTCGACCAGGAGGGCCGCTGGGACCCCAGTCAGACGGACACGTTGCTGAGCGGTGAGGGCCACGGCGAGCGTCTGCGGCCAGGTGAGCCCCCCGGAAGCTTCCGGAAGCTGTGCGGGCGGGCAGCAGGCTCCACCGACAGTTGCTTCAGCGGCGGCACGGACCGCGAGACCCTCAGTACCGTCAGCAGCTTCCGCAGCGAGAAGACCAACTCCACGCAGCTGGACAGCCCCTCGCTGGGCCAGACAGACCCTCGGCGGGAGGGGGGGGCCGGGGATGCCGGCCCGGGGACCCCTGGACCCCCAGAGGTGGCCGGCGGGAAGGAGGGGAGCGACACGGACGAGGTGTCGGACAGCGAGCTCACGGCAGCCCTAGATTATGCCGAGACTACCTTGGCCGGGCTGCACACGGGGGATGCCTCGGACCCCCTCTCGCTGTGGTCGAGGGAGAAGGCGGGGGTCCCGGGGCCAGGGGGGATCCGAGGCGGCTTGGGGTCCGCCAGCGAGCAGCAGCAGCAGGCACCCCCACCTCCTTCCTCCTCCTCTTCCTCCTCCTCATCCTCCTCTTCCTCCTCCTCGGCCCCCGTCATCGCGGCGACCTACACCATCAAGCTCCCCCCCCCGGAGAACGAGCGGGCGGTCCGGCCCAAAGACCTGACCCTGCTGCGGGGGCACAAGACGGTCCGGAAAAAGCCGGGGCGGCGGGGGGCCGGGGTGGGGGCCTTTGAGGGAGCCTTCCGCCGCGAGTACGGCCCCGTGCGCCCCCCACCCCCGCAGGCCGGGAAGGGTTACGGCGAGGACTACCTGGAGGAGGAAGAGGAGGAGGAGGAGGAGGAAGACTCGAGCGACCAGAGCGACCTGAGCCGGACCTCCAGCCTGCGATCGCAGCCGGCCTACACCTCGGACAGCTCGTCCAGTGCCACCTCGCTCTCCCGCTCCACCCCCTACCCCCCCGCTCCACGCGAAGCCCCCCAGAGACGCAAGCAGCGGCGACGACAGCCCCCCAACCCCCGGCCCCAGCCACATCCTCCTCCGCCTCCGCCCCTCTCGGACCCCCGCCCTGAGCCGGGGACCCCCGAGACCCTGCTGGCCCTGGCCCTGGCCCCGCCCAGCCCAGCGCAAGAGGCTCCCGGGCCCCGGGAGACCGCTGGGGCCGGGAAGGACGGGGAGGGGGTCCTCGAGGAACGCGAGCTCTTCCCCTCCCGGAGGCCGGGGTCCGTGGAGAACGCCTGGAGCCGGTCGGGGCTGGATGATCCGGTCGGGTGGGCCGAGGAGGGAGCGGTCGGAGGAGGTGAGGAGACGATGGCGGCAATAGCAGCGACAATGGCCTCTCTGGCCTCCAGGGGGCGTCGCGAGGCGCTGGGCTGGACTGTCGGGCGGGGGGTGTTTGGGGGTTTGTCCCCCCCCCCCCCCCAGGCGGCAAGGGAGCGAAGGAGGGGGGAAGAGGGCGAGCGAGGAGGAGGAACTGTGGGAATGGAGTTCCAGTGGGTGGGAGCAGAAAGAGGAGAGGCCGGGAGAGAAGGGGGGGGGGGGGGAAAGATTCAGAAGGTTGTGGGTTCAAGCCTCCACTTACCCCACCCCTACATTGGGGACTGAGCTCACAGTCCAGTCCAGCGCTGGGGGGAGCGAGAGAGACACAAAGAGCGAGAGAGAGACAGAGACACACTGAGAGAGACAGAGACACACACCCAGAGAGAGAGAGAGACAGAGACACACACCCAGAGAGACAGAGACACACACAGAGAGAGACAGAGACACACACAGAGAGAGACAGAGACACACACAGAGAGAGACAGAGACACACACAGAGAGACAGAGACACACACAGAGAGCGAGAGAGACACAGAGACAGAGCTGTGTTGTCGGAGACTCCGTCCTTCGGATGAGACGTTAAACCTCACTCACTCTGTGCCCTGTTCGGGTGGATGTTAAAGACGCTGTCGGGTGGGAAAGAGAAGGGGGTCTCTTCCCCCCACCTCTCCCCCCACCCCCCTTCTCCCTCCCGGTGTCCTGGCTGACAATCCCCCCCCTCCCCCTGATAAAAAATCTCTCGCTGGCTTCATGGCTGTTTGTGGGGATTCGCTGTGCGCCAGTGGGCTGCCGCGTAACACACAGCCATAAAAACATAACATAAGAATTAGGAGCCGGAGTAGCCCTTCCCCGCCATTCGATAAGACCATGGCCGATCTTCTGACCTAACTCTGGTTACCCACCTTCTCCCCATATCCCCTAATCCCTCTATTTTTTGAACATCTATCAGTCTCAGCCTTGAAGATGTTCGAGGACTGACATCTACAGCCCTTCTGGGACATCTACAGCCCTTCTCCCACCGGGAACAGTCCCTCTGTGTCTACTTTATCCGCCCTTTAAGAATCTTATATGTCTCAATAAGATTTCCCCTAATTCTTCTGTACTCTATAGAGAATACAGCCCCAGTTTATTCAGCCTCTCCTCATAGGTCAGTCCCCTCATCCCAGGCACTAACCGAGTGAATCTACGCTGTACCCCCTCGAGGGCAAGTATGTCCTTTCGTAAATAAGGACCAAAACTGCACACAATACTCTCGGTGCGTTCTCACCAAAGTCCTACACAGTTGCAGTGAGACTTCCCCACTCTTGTACTCCAAACCTTTTGCAATGAACGCTAACTGCCGTTCGCCTTCTTAGTTGCTGCTGCACTGCAAACTAACTTTTTAAGACTGGTGTACAGTCTTTTCGCATCATCCTCAGAGCTCACTCTCCCACCGAGTTTAGTGTCATCCGTGAATTTAGATACGTTACATTCAATGTCCTCATGTCGATCATTGGTGTAAATTGTAAATAGCTGAGGCCCAAACACTGATCCTTGTGGCGCTCCACTCGTCACATCCTCCAATTCGAGAATGACCCGTTTATCCCTACTCTCTGTTTTCTGCCCGTTGGCCACTCTTCAATCCGTGCTAATATGTTCCCATTAATCCCGTGGGCCTTAACCGTGTGCAATAGCCTTTTGTGTGGCACTTTGTCAAATGCCTTCTTAAAATCTAAATGTACGACACCTACTGGTTCCCCCCTCTCTAACCTGCAGATACATCTTAAGCGTGACTTCCCTTGTGTAAAGCCGTGTTGACTCGGTCTAATCTGGTTATGGTCTTCCAGGAATCCCATAACCACATCCTTAATTGAGGACTCCAGAAGTTTCCCTCCCACCGATGTCAGACTAACTGGTCTATAGTTCCCCATCTTTTCTCTCCCACCCTCTTAAATAGGGGTGTTCCTACACAGTCACTACACTTCACGGTGAAATCCTGTGAAGTGCTTTGATACGTCCTGACGTGTGTTGTCATGTATAAGTCTTGTTTCTTCACCAGTTTCTCCTGTTTTCTCTCTCTCCCCCCCCCCCCCGCCCCACCACCAGCCCCCCCCAGTGAGGACGGGGGGAAGCGAGAGCGCAGTGGGAGCAGCGTGAAGAGAACGCAGGCCATGAGACGGAGGCATAACGCAGGCAGCAATCCCACGCCACCCCCCTCCATCATGGGCTCCCCACCCAGGTACGTACCCAAGGGCGTGTTTGTGTGTGTCTAGCCGCGTATGTGGTGAGTGTGTGTGTGTATGTGGTGTGTGTGCGCGCGGTGAGTGTCTGTGTGTCTGTCCGTGTGTGCGTCCTGTAGCTCAGGGATTAGACCCCTCGCCTCGCAAGCCAGAGGACCCGGGTGTGATTCCCGGGCGGGTCAGGACAGGGCGAAACCTCGGGCAAGTTTCCTCCCCCTCCCCCCCACAAAACACACAGTCACTACACTTTATGGTAATATCCCGCGAAGCACTTTGAGACCGGGGCCTTGGGACGTCCTCCCGACACACACACACACACACACAGACACACACACACACACATGGACCCCCACACACAGACACACACACAGACCCCGACCCCCCCACACACACACACACACACACACACAGACCCCCACACACACACACGCGCCTGTGTCCCCGGCAGTCAGTCGCTTGTCAGCGATTGGGGGATCACTTTCCCTTCAAAACAATAATAATTCGGTCACTTCAACCCCCGGCGGCTGTTTGTGGGGACGTCGCTGAGCGCGATCGGCTGCCGCGATTGGCCCCCAAAACACACAGTCACTACACTTTACAGTGTGTCCCGTGAAGCGCTTTGAGGCGTCTCGAAGCCGCGATGAGGCTCCGGGTCACCCACTGGGATTATTCTAGAGTTTGACTTTATGTAGATTTAAACCGCAAACATTAAACCCAATTGATATCACCTCAGTCAGATTGGGGGACGGTGTGTGTGTGTGTGGTGGTCGGGGGGGGGGGGGGGGGGGTGTGTGGGGGAGTGGGGGGTGGGGGAGATAATCAATCAGGGATTCTGCGAAGATCAAATGTTTTTTCCCGCATCTGAACCTGTCGTGCGATTGAGGAGAAGCCACTCCTGTGTGTTTTTTTTAAACGCCCGTTATTTTCTCTCCCTCTCTCTTTCCCCCATCTCTTCCCCCCCACCCACTCACACTCCCCCTCCCTCTCTCCCCTCTTGTTCCCCTCCCTCTCTCTCCATCCCTCCCTCTCCCCTCTCTCTTCCCCTCTCTCCCCACCTCCCCCATTATCCCACATGCTTTCTCTCTCCCTCCCCCCTCCCTCTATCTCTCCCCCTCTTTCTCTCCCCTCTTTCTATCTCTCTCCCACCTTTCCCCCTCTCTCTCTCTCTCCCACCTTCCCCACACTCTCCCCCATTATCCCACATGTTCTCTCTCTCTTCCCCTCCCTCCCCTCTCTCTCTCCCCAATCTTCCCCCACTCTCTCCCCTCCCCGTCTGCCCCCCTCTGACCCCCCCACCCCCCCACCCACAGCCTGCAGGATATCCAGCGTACCCGAGCTGCCTCTCAGTCGCGCACACACACCCTGCCGGCCGCCCTGCAGTTTGCCAGCTCGCTGCTTTTGCCCCGGGGTCCGGTACACGAAGCCTCCACCTTCGACGACACCTCAGAGGGGGCCGTCCACTACTTCTATGATGAAGCAGGTAGCGTCAGCCCGTGTTCCCCAGTCAGTCGCGCTCTCGCCTCTCGAGTCAGAAGGTTCCAGGTTCCCCCCCTTTCCCCCCTCAACCCACTCCCCGCTGCCCCTGTTTGACTGGCTCCTGTCCCCCCCCCCCCCTACACGTGCCCTCCCGGCTCCACCGTCAGTGCCGCACTTTCAGCCACTACGCCCCGAAAGTCTATCACTCTGTCCCTCCCTCCGCTTCGCCCCCTCCCTCCTTCGCACTGAAGACCTTCCTCTTCGACCAGTGCCTACGGTCACCACCCCCCCACCTCCCTCCCTCCACCCCCGGCTCGGAGTCCTGCTCCCCCCACTGTCAAGCCCTCCGGGGGGGGGGGGTGAGAGGGGGGACGGGGGCTACTCTGCAATTGGCTGCCGCGTTTCGCCCACAAAATACGAGGTGGGAAGAGAATCAATTCCCTTTACAGTATGTTCCATGAAGTGCTTTTAGACGTCTCAACGATATGGTAAAGCTACAACCAATGCAACCGATTATTAACACCACGTGGATTACTTAAGAGTCTCCCTGTGGCTCAGGGGTTAGACCCCTCCCCTCGCACCCCACAGCCCCTGTAGCTCGGGTTAGACCCCTCGCCTCGCACCCCACAGCCCCTGTGGCTCAGGGTTAGACCCCTCCCTCGCACCCCACAGCCCCTGTAGCTCAGGGGTTAGACCCCTCGCCTCGCACCCCACAGCCCCTGTGGCTCAGGGGTTAGACCCCTCCCCTCGCACCCCACAGCCCCTGTAGCTCAGGGGTGAGACTCCTCGCCTCGCACCCCACAGCCCCTGTGGCTCAGGGGTTAGACCCCTCGCCTCGCACCCCACAGCCCCTGTAGCTCAGGGGTTAGACCCCTCGCCTCGCACCCCACAGCCCCTGTAGCTCAGGGGTTAGACCCCTCCCCTCGCACCCACAGCCCCTGTAGCTCAGGGGTTAGACCCCTCGCCCCCACCCCACAGCCCCTGTAGCTCAGGGGTTAGACCCCTCGCCTCACAAGCCAGAGGATCCGGGTTTGATTCCCGGGCGGGTCAGGTCAGGACGAAACCTCGGGCAAATTTCCTTACTCCCCCGTCTCCTCCCCCGCCCCCCCACACATGCACACAGACACGCACACACACACGCAGACACACACAGACACAAACACACGCCTCTCTTTACCTAGCAATAAAATAGTCGTGGATTAGTTAGCAACCCACGGCTGTTTGTGGGGACGTCGCTGGGCGCAATTAGCTGCTGCATTTCGCCCACAAAACATACAGTCACTGCACTTGACGGTGTATCCTGTGAAGCGCTTTGAAACGTCTCGCCGCTGGGTCAAATGCCAGGAATATTATTAAAAGCACTTTGATTACTTTACTCCTATTAAACACGGCCAAACACGTAAAGATTATTGATTAAATCAGATTTGACAGTTTGCCTGCAACTCAGTTGGGAGGACATCCCAGGGCGCTGGACAGTCGGGTTTGGACCCGAGATGAGGGTTGGGATCAGGATGGGGTGGAGAGCGGGGAAGGTGGGGGTAGGAGAGTGGGGGTAGGGAGGGTAGGAGGGGAGGGGGGTGACCGAAGGTGTGGTTGGTTGTAGAGGAGGGTCTTGAGACGGGCCTTGAAAGAGGTGAGGGAGGGAGGGGGCGAGCGAGGGGGAGGGACTGTGGGAATGGAGGTCCAGAGGGTGGGGGCAGAGAAGTTTGAAGGCCTGGCTGTCGGTGATGGGGCCGGCAAGGTGGTGGGGGGTGGGGTGGGGGGGTTCACAGGATGTCAGACCCTGGGATTGTGGGGTACGTGAGCGAGCGAGACTGCACGTTCAAGTACACTACAAACATTTCCCCCCCCCTTTTTGCATGCG